TTGTGCTGCACATGGGGAGTGCTGAAACAATACACTGGCAATGATCCTGCTGGATGAGTACTCTGGCCTTTGCCTTCTAGGGGATAAAAGGAATGGAGTTCTTTATGAAAGGAGCTTGTCTTGCTTCAGTGGAGGATCTTAGAAAGATTTCTGTTGATTCTGCAGAGGCACTGTGTAAGTTGTGTTCTTTTTGTGTGTTCTGCAGAAAGATGAGATATTTTTCTCTGAAATGTTTGCAAGATTGAATGATGAAGCTACAGCTGATGAGCAACTACGTGAACTGGTAAGCCAGTGGTCTTGGTGTTTCCTTCAATGCTTTAAATGAGAGAGATGAAACACAAGGAGTGAAACTGTTCTAGTTCTTCAGACTTGGAGGTGCTTCTGCACAATCAGCCTGGACACCCTCCCTCTAACACAAACTGGAACTGTGTCCTCCTTTCCAAGAGTTTTCTGACTCAAAGAAATCTGACCTTCTTTTTTTTATTTGTGCATTAGGTGAAGTTTTTTCGGGAATTCTTCGCCTTTTCTTTAGCGTTACCTGAGAATAGACGTGAATTTCTCAGCACTTTGTCCAAGTTTAAAATTCTTAGAACTCTTAAAAGGTTAATGGTAAGTGAAAACTTACAGCTGATTTTCTTAAAACTAGAAAAGCTCTCAGCCATTTCCCCAGAGTTTTGGATCTACCTCATGTAAGTCTGATTGGAGAGCCTTTTGTCTGCTGAGAGTGAAAGTTCCTTGTAATGTTCTGCCTCCAAGAGCTGCTCACAGTTGCACTCTGGAGCAGTTTTGGGTTCCTTGCACTTACTATTTTTACTCTGCATGATGGAGAAGTCTGTGGGCAGTGCAGTCCTTGTGACAAGGTTGTGTGACCCTTGAGAGAGTCTCTTCTTGATGTGACAGCTTGATTAGTTTTTTTGTCAGATACAATCCTATCTGACTTCCTGTTGCCTGTAGATGAGCACAGAAATTGTCGTAAACCTTGATTTGTACAGTTGGTCCTTTTATACCAAGTGAATAAATTGTGAATTACAGGTAGAGAAGACCAGTGTCAGATATTGTAGCAAGTAGGGGGATGTGAATGTTTCTGGCCTAAAGTTGGGCTCTCAAGTTCCCAGAAAGCCTTGTGTCCCTTCTGTAGGAGGGAAAGAATAGCAAAAGATTTTTCTGGTTGCTTGTTGTTTTTCTGTAAGTGTTTGACTGTGTTTCTCCTCTTAGAAACATTGTCCAGACTTTTAAGTGTCTCTTCTTTGCAGTTTCACTTCATCCTGTAAATACCCAACTTGATACACTCTAAAAAATTAATCTCTTTTGTCTTAGGGAGTGAATGATCTGCAAGTTAGATCCGGTGCTACAGATATATTGTCTTATATAGGATACTTTCATCCATTCAAGATCCACAACTTTATACTGAAAGAGGCCCGTCAGATTGACAATGTAAGTAAAAGTGATTTGGAGATTGTAAACGTACTAGTTTTAGGGCAAATAGGGAAATAAAATGCCAATCAAAGTGTCAATTTCTCTGTTTCATTTAATTTTTTATATAAAAAAAACAAATTGCAGAATGTGGGGAGCTCATTCCCTTCCTGCTAGTACTTATTTTGCGTTTTCTTGCTTGGTTGGTTTGTTTTTTGCAGAAAAACCCGCTCCTCATTGTGATCATTGAGCAGCTGATCAACAATTCTGACCCGGGACTTGGAGGAGATAGTCAGCTAAAGAAGATTTTCTATATTCTGATTGATCCAGAGAATATGCGGCATCATATTAGTGTAAGTGAACATGGAGGGCAGAAGACACATCACTGTCTCAGCAAAGCTAAAACCCTGAGATTATCTCTTGCTATTATCAGGGGCAGAGGGTAAACAATTTCAGGTTTTTTTTTATTGATTGGAGTGTGATCTGATAGCGAGTTTAAATAAGCACAAGAGAAGTGAATTTGGCTAATGAAAGGTGTGTGTCTGGGGCACTGTGCAGGCACTAAGCCAAGCAGTGCCCTGTGGCAGTGCCAATGCACTGTGGGACTGTAGCTCCCTCGAGCTGGATGACAAATCCTGAGGCAGTCCAGTAGAGTCTGTGTGAAACCAAATCAATGTTTCAATAGATTGTAATGTCCCAGAATAGCAGTCAAAAGGTTTGCAGGTTGTTGTGGCCAAAGGACCTGCATGTCAGAGTGGTTTAAGGTCACTTTGTCAATCCCTTTGAGTCACTGAGGACTTTCTGCCTTTGATGCATTTCTCTTTGCATCCATGCTGGGGAGCCTTTTGGTGATAGCTACGTTGGTTGGATGTCTCACAGATTTTCCCCCAAATAAAGAAGTCAATCTTGCTTGAGTGAAGACAGTGCTGCAGGCCTAAATAAAAGATGCAGGCAGAAGTGAGGGAGTCAGGAAAACTCTTCCTGGGCTGTTCCTTCTGTTACTACTCTTCTGTATTTAAATGACTGTATGTGATTGCCAGAGTTTAATGCAGTTACTGTTGTTTTAGAATTTAGATTTATTTCAGTTTCTCGATTTCTTCTACGACCGTTGCATTCCCATTCTTACTGCACCACTTCTGGCTGATACATCAGAAAATTCCTATGACAAAGGTAATGACAATTTTAATGTTTCTCCCTTGCAGCTGTGAATGCTCATGTAGCTTGATGATGTGCTTTGCACAGATATATTTTCTTGATGGCTATTGTGGGTCATGTAGTAGTTTTCCTTGTCTGATTTTAAAGAATATTGGCTGTAATGAGAAAAAAGCCACAGTTGTGTTGGTTGTTTTGTTTTGACCCAACATACCACTTTCTAAAGCAATCCAGTGAATCAAAAATCCACTAAAAAATGCATCAGAAACTGTAATAACTGGTGAGCTCACTGTGCATGACAGAACATTCTTTCTTTCTTTGGTATAACTGAATATTATTCCTTTTTCTTGTAGATTATCAAAGAGCAGAAATCCTTGCTTTAGTTTTGGAGGTGCTATCTTTTTGTATGCAACGGCACAGACATCACATGAAGAAGTATGT